TTCGTGTGCAGTGGGTATTCCTTTTCATTTGACTTATTTCTTTCAACGAGATCGGCAAACAAGCACTACTCTATAACTGTAATGAAATGAAGCGAGTAGCCAGGCTCGCCCTCGATTGGAGAGTAAACACACTCACCTATTTTCGCGGAAACGCGATCGATATATAAAGTACCAGTCATGTTTTTTTTTTAAATGCCGTTAATGAAATTCATTGATATCTGTATAACGAGATCATGTTTAGGTATGGACCCCTGTAGTTACATGAGAGTTGTGTTGAGATCAGAGACTTGAATGGCGCGGAGATAAGAGGATTACGCCCGAATCATTGCTAGCATCAAACATTTTGAAAATAATTATTTAAATAAACTACTACGGGATTATTTTTTATTGTTTGGCTATCGATGTGACTAACAAAGTAGGGTTTTTCGTTTGTCGGCAATTAATTTTATTAAAACCATCGTCTATTCCTGATAAAATTACATAGCTGAACATTGTAATTTATTAAAACCTAGTAGATTCCGGAATTATTATCTATGGCTGTTTTGGGGTTTATAGTGTTACACATATGTCATCATTTACGCTGTTTAGGATCGATTCGAACAGCAATTACGTTTTAACCATTTATCACTCAATCATCTTTAAAATTTAACACCATGCCACACACCACAGTAACTCGAGATAAATAAAACACAGAATAGAAATTATGACGGTAGGATTTCTGCCAGATGATAACTTTTAACCTGAATTACGTCACAAGCCGAGCAGATTCATCTACAAAATTACTTAAAGTACATTAATTATTATAAATCTCTGTCACAGTGAGTTTTAGATCACGCCTTCGCTATGTGCACAGATCATTCAATCTTTGAAAGAAAAAACGTAAATATAAAAAAGAAATATATAAAAGCAGTACAACAATTTTATGCCAGTGACTGTTTTCTTGGGTTTCATAAATATAGATGTAACTTATAGGAGTTTCATCAAAAAATATTTTGTAGGCATTTTAAGGCTACCATTTGTTAAGATTTTGAATGCACAACCAATTGACACGGACTGATCGAACAAGCAGAGTTAAACACCCGGTCTTGTAAAATAAAAACAAGAAATATGAAGTAGCATGCGAGGTCAAAAGTGACCAATGGAAAGACATTGAATGTGACGTTGTTGTAGACTGCAGTGTGATAACGGTCGGGCTAACCGACTGCTACTTTATAGTGAATGCAACGTTTAAACGCGTTGCTTATACATGTAGATACAGTTGACAATCATTCATTTGTCTTTGGAGAATTTCTGTCTTATAATGCATTTAAAAAAAAAAAAAAAAAAATCAGTTCATTCAGTACAGAGCGTAATATTTGGTTAGTAGAAATACTGTGCTGGGTTCCTTTGGCGTGATATTTCAGTGAAGTAGCACTTTAAAATCGGCATCACATATGCGCTATTACAATGAGGCAAGTACACCAATACAGCATCTCCAGTACACGCACACACATTACACACACACAGAGGCACTTAACCTGCTACAATGCAGTAGGACGCTTATCCATAGAAGTCAAGCTAAACCAGACAGAAGCGTCTTGTGTTGGTATGAGGATAAGGATAATTTATTCAAGGATTAAGAATATTGAGTGAGAATCAAACCTTACGTTACAATGTTAATTCTGCCTTATATCAGATAGCTCTATCCTTACTAACAGGTAGGAGACGAACGTAACACGATACATCGGCATTTATTCTCAACAGCACACGGAATGAGATTATAAGGAACCACACTGTGTGACAGTGCATGAACGATCACACCCGTACATCGGACTGGCTAGGTGACCCGACAATGATACTTTAAAAGACAGGCTTTTTCATAACTCGTCTGTTTTCCCTCTAAAACTTAATTGTGTTATTGTGTTACCCGGATACGTGACTAAATCGTTCTAGGAACACGAGTGCTATGCAAACATACACTTTAATATACAGCATCACCAACACGTCTTATCGTAAAATATCTCCACGGCATTAAGGGGTAACGCAAGTGCCTCCCCCGCATGTGATATCTTGTACTCTTCAAATCTGTGTGTCTTGTCATGTGAAATCAATCTAAAAATTTAAAAAAATATAACACATTATAGTCAATTGCCCTTTCAGATAAATAGCCCACCCACATCAAGCAAAATAAAAATCATTACTTTTTTAAACAATAAGTATATAACGAGTCTATCCCTATAAACGTGGTCTTTCAGTTTTTGCAACTTTTGTTCCGATTTAAGTCACTTGGGATTCGAAAACAAGTCATACTAGGAAAATTAAATCCTGCACAAAATGTGTTTAAAATATTTCGATGTGAAATGTTATAAATCGCACATGCCGGATAAAATATCGGTTTGAGTCTGACACAAAAACAATAATGGTCATACGGAAAAAACTTAATACCTCGGAATGATTTAAAGAAACAGAACATTTTAGAATGTCAAAAGTGAAATCGTCTAAAAGAGATCGTGAAATTCTATTTTAAGATGCGAACTGGGTCAACCTTGGCTATTATATAGGTCGATGACACTATCTACATTTAAACTGTTTTATCCGCCCCATCAGCAAAGGAACAAACCTGTCTACGATATCACGGTAATGGGAAACACGCATAATTTGATTTAATGATTGGTCGTATCTGCTTTTCATTTCCTATAAACACTCGCCACTGTAATTGGCGAAGAAGTACATCTGTAGGTATCCGGTTTTCATAAAGTTTTATATTAAACACTTGTCGACAACGTTTTTCTTTTGGTGTGCCATGCACTTAGTCGTAACACGAGTATGATATCTTCATAAGTGATTCCAAGTGAAAGTAATGAATGCCTAATAGTAATGCGGTGAGGTTTTATTGATATGTCTTTTAAGTTGTCCCTTTGATGAGAACCAATATCACCAAGCCATGAACAAAATGTGAAGCATTTGGGTTCCTGGTATTCGTATTCTATTTTTTTCAAAGCTGATGTACTGCAGATCGGTGATATGTGTAAAGGAAAACCTATCTAATATAAAAGATACGTCTAAGAAACAGGCATTGCTGTATGTACACTGTAACTACATGAACAATTTTATTGTAACATTGTTTAAATTCCATGAAAAACAGATATCATAAAACTTAAAAAGCAGTAGGAAACTACCAATTTCTGCTTCTAAACAAAGATATTGCCTCGCTTGGACTGATGACTTTTCATCGGTCGACGGAAACCGCATGATACCGGATTAACGGGGTCGCAGAACTCGGTCTCGATGTGTATGGTCCGCATTGATAGGTTTCATTGGATATGGTCCATATCAAAGAGGTCGGGCTCTGTATAATCCGGATTGAGCAGATTCGGTTTGTGTTGGCTCTTCTGTTTATAGTCTGGATTAATCAGGCTCAACAACAGTATATGGTCCAGATTAGCATGGTTATATTGCATAAATGTATAAGAGAGTTTTATGACACATGAATTGATTTTGCGAATTTGTACACATGCATTACTATGAACAAAAATTGTATAGTCAAAAGATATGGCATGATAAAAGCATGCTGTACAATGTTGTCATTACGATTTAGTACAAAATAACCCATAAGTCTTTGGGTAATATATTATTTTTACTTTTCATTTATGGTCTATGACAATTACACTCATGCACAAATAGTGTAACTTAACATTAATAACAAAACCATCAGCTGGAAAATTAGGTTCACATGATAAAAAAGGATAAACCACAATCCCGTTATTTAAGACCCTTAATATATCTGAAAACAAATGTATGGCCAAGAGTTGAATTAACGAATTGATCAGATATACAAATGTTTTATTATAGAGTTTAAAGAATAAATATTTGCAAGTGGTTAGAATTACCAATCCACTATCAGAAAATTCACTGAAAAAGAGTTCCTCACGAAAAATAACCGCGTACCTGTATGCAGAAACAAGCAAGTAGTCAGTTTTCATCTATTATACGTACGTACTTGTATGAGAATTGCGTTCATGGTGGTACCACGACTTTTTTTTTTATATTTTCCAAAATGTTATGACATAAACATATATATATGTACATGTACATACAGTGTACATGGGCGTCTAGAATCGCCTTTAAATAATGTACATACTTTCAAAATGTTCGATCAAGTATCAGTATTCGCCATACATATATATTAACAAATAAGTATACATTCCCATTTTTGATATAAAATTAATTTCCGGATATTCTTGTCCCTACTCTATTCTAATTATTATTGTGGTACCACGACTAAACTTTAATTAAATCCTTATATGCCTACCTACATATTTATATCAACAAAACGAATGAAAGTAATTTGTTTTCTGTCATGTTGTTTCACATTGTAACTATGCTAAAATGAACTGTGCTTAAACCCTTGCATTTATATTAATTAAACTAACAAAAACACGTTATTTGATATTAATCATTTTTATGTATCAAATCAACCAACTGTTGGAAACGACGACAATGAACGAAAAATAAATAAACACTGTGAAGCTACATTGTATTAATCATCAAATGGCTCAACATGTATTTATCCGAACACGTACTGACATCTGTCACAAACCTAAGCACTTTATGGCATATCAATAAACTGATATGGTCACCGTTAAGCCCCTCTCAAACGCCCTCTGCAATTCAGAAATTGACATTTACGGAAGTAACTTTGGACAATGCTTGTTTTTGGTATCCCGGTATCGATCGTCTGTCTCCGGTATCGATCGACTTTCTCCGGTATCGATCGGTGACTTTCGGAACACTGTCTCCTTCAGTGGGAACCGTTATTTACATCGCAGCCATATGGCGAGAGGTACTGTCATGTTGTTTAAATTAATACCATTGTTTTTTTTAATTTCATGGTTTTGCTTTATGGCATAATGATGCCATCTAAAAGTGTATTGATAAAAACAGCTATCTAACTGTCGCTATGTCAAATTAATGGATTAGTGTTATGAATTGTTTAATTTTCTTATATCAAAGGCGGCTTCTATGTGTTTTAATGTTGTTTGAATATAAACAATTCTTGGAATGTACCGAAATTGTGATTATCCAGCAAAGGTATGTCTTTAATAACAATTGAAGCTTGTAGAAAATGTATTCCAATGCTCGGTTGCAAAGAATATTGTTTCATTGCAGATTGAAGTCATACTAGATAATATCATCGGCTAACGGAAGTGAGGAGAAGCACAGCTAGAAATGTGTATAGCATAGGGAGAGAGCCGGTGTTATCAGTGGCAACATCTGTATACATAAACTGTTATCGATGATGTGTGGATTTTTATATATAGTATTATATAAAATCGGTTTACCTTTATGCCTAAACATAGGGAGGGCAGTTTCCTAGTTGTAGGAGGCTTCACATATTTACATTTGCTACCAAACAGGATTTACTATGAGGAGCCAGTACGTAGACTGCTCTATCGCTATACAGCGACGGGCTATAGAGACCGGTCTAACACAAAAGTAGTACCAGAGAAAGCTCGTGCCATCGTGTAGCTGGCTATGTGTTCATCACACCCATATTGAAGGAAATGACGATGATACCGTGTCAACAGTGAAGAGGTTACGCCATATAGATAGTTATGTGTTCGTTTCGGTGTTGAAACGTGTTCAACGATGAACCCCTGTCAACATTGAAGAGGTGATACCGTTTCTGTGTGATTATGATATTGAAAAGGACATCGACGGCGATGAACCCTTGTCCATATTGAAGAGGAACTGGTCATGTCTCTAGATCGATGCTGATGGGGGTTAGAACTCCCTAAATTTACCCTTTGTAAGGTTTTACGGAGCTTTAGGTATGCGTTTCACAGGAATTTTAACACTGGTCTTTCTAGCCGACAGTATATACGGAACTGAACAGCAAGACATCAGAAGAGTTGGTAAGTGTTGTCTTTTTGCATCATACTTTCATTTTTGTTAATATGACGTATGTTCAATTGATTTGTTTACAGATATGTGATAAGTACAAGCATGTTTAAAATACAAGACGAATAAAATCTCATACATAGCATAAGAATGTTTCACACGCATCGGAGTAATGTGGTTGGTTTTGGTAAGGTGGTGTCGCCTGGGTCGATACGACTGTCGGAGGCATGCTGTGTACGTGATAGTGTTATACGCTGATAGACCAACGTTTCCCCGATACAGAACCTAGATGAACACGACATCTTGAGATGAAATGCTCTTGTCGCATGAACGTGAAATAGTTTTCAAGATAAGTTGTTGATTTCGCCCCAAAACATGCCACATTCCTGATGATAGTAGATCTAACCCCGTTTTCATTTATAATCATAATATTACTTTATTAGATTCACGTTCTATATTTCTATTGTAATTTACTTAAACTGATACGCATAGATTTCCCCAAAGCGTATTTTATATGAAACATGAATCAATATCAACAAATTCCCCACATGATAAATAAATACTCGAAAGCAACATGTGCACGACTTTCGTGCAAATTCCATCTGGAAGAAGTATTAAGAACCGTCTTATTAAAGTTAAATGTTAGTGACGCGGAAATTAAAGCGACCGTTGATCGATTGCCGCAAGCAATGTGAAGTTTATCTCTAATTTGTGCAAATTCTCATGCCAATTTCATGTCTACGAGCTTCGATATTGCTGCACCACGTGTAAATGAGCACGAGCGGTGCACGCGATGACGGAAGCTGCATATGATGCGGCATAAGGCCGTGTCGTGCTCGGAAAATGTATTTAAGCTTTAATCAACGTGGCTAACAGGGCCACTGGGACTCAACATCATATGTGTTTAATTTGCCTAGGACAGTTTCATTTAGATAAGTGATTTGAGGGTGGGGATTGCTTTGCTTTTCATTGTGTTTTTAAGATAAGACTAACCAACTGATGTTTGGTTAGCTTTTATTGAGCGTTCATAATCTTGCGTTTTGTTAAGATGTATTGGTTTATTGGAAATATTTTCTTTAAAGAAATAAAATACGTGCTGACGTAACGTTTTGATATACGTCTAATACCGATGTCATTTTCTCTATTTTTCCGATGTTGACATCACATGTTGGATTATGACATTTGACAGTGAAACTAAGGTTAATATTTTCTTCATGTAAAAATAGTACTTGTTATTCTCACATCAAACCAATAATCATAGAGAAGGGTGTTGTGCGATAAATAACAAGGAATGGGGATGGTGAATTGTAACGAATACATTGTAATTGATTGCATGATGAATAACAGTCATACGTCACTCTATGGTCGAAAAATTATCATACTTTTCACTCGTACTAACCATTCATAACGATGTCAAAATATTTACCCTATCCTATGATGAACTCTCGTTTTCATGTCACTTATAAACTGACGTCACCGTTGAAAAACAACTACATTTTTGTTGTTGATGACGTTCAACATATTTCTTCTTTTATGACGTCATCATTCTATGATCTTCATATGATGACGTCACGTTTTGTATTCGCCTAATGATGACGTTAAAATTGAATATTTGTCTTGAGCTGTCGTCACAATTTTTATTTTATTTTTCTATTCGATATCATCCTTTGATGTCTGTTCTTTACAGTGACGTCACTTTTGATATCCGTTCCTTGTTATTACAATTTCATATTCATACAAAATCGACGTCAGTTTTGCTAGGCAGCTATTGTTAGCGTTATGTTTTGATATTCATACAACGCCAACGTGCTTTATTTTGATATATCCCATATGCTGATAAAACCCTCCCGCTATTCAGATGGCGTTGCATCTGCAACTCACTAACACTCGTTATTGCATGTTTTTGATGAAAGCCAAACCTCACCTGACTTGATGTATTACATTTAAATTAAAATATGTTCCCGAGGCAATGGACATACCGTATTGCCACAAGCGTTTACAATCATTTAACGAGATTTCGTATTAGTAAGCTCTCTACCATTATTTGCAGAACCGTGTAAAGACCCCAAAGGAAGCGAAATGTTCATCATAACGACCCAAAGGCTAACTATTTGGTTTGTAGATACAATGTTATTCGCTGTAATTATTGGGTATTGTATCGACTGATAACACCCGTAAAAGTGCTATGACAAACAAAATGACATCGTGGCAACTTAAGTAAACATTAAGTGCAAAAAGGTTTTATAGGAACATGCATCCTTATCAAGTATGCGTACTGGTAAAGGTATCTCTAGAAATGTCAGGAACAAATGACAGTGACAAGGATGGTCAAGAGAGAAATTGCATTTCAGTAGTTTAGAGCAAGACGTTTCAACAGCACGCACAACCGGACAACATACATGTGTCTCTGTTTACATTCAGACGATTTTTCAAGTGATTTGTTTGACTTAAGCGGCCTATCAACAATGAAGGTTAATAACAGTTCCAAACACGGGAAAAAAACTTTTACACGGAATTCCCAGTATTCGCCTCATAATGCATATGGTTACCGAAGGGTCATTTTCCCCCAAAAAAACCCCGAAGGGTGTACACCCGGCCATACGAACGAAGCAATATGAGTTGCTGGCAAACCCACTGATCGGTTTCTGAGAACCCCCTACGAAACATATTAAGGAACTGGATTGCGTTTTAAGCTTTTTAAGTATTTGATAATTTTGAAACTTTAATCGGAAATCATTTTATCACCGCAATTTATTTTTCGTTTGAATTAGTAGCGATTGATATTACCGCACGATCTCTGCTGCTTGTTGGATTTAACTGTATGTACACAAATTTATTCTCGCTAACCCTAAAGGACTGACGTCCATACTACTCACCATTGTCGTTGTTTGATTATGTGGCGTTGGACGTACGTTTAATAGCTCAGGTCATATAACTACCGTGTCCATTGATTATGGGGCTATTCTGGGGCCGTGTTTTAGTATCACTTTGTTTGTTCAGGGTTTTGCGTATCCTAACATAGCTTAGGTCATATAACTACCGTATCCATTGATTATGGGGCTATTCTGGGGCCTCGTTTTAGTATCACTTTGTTTGTTCAGGGTTTTGCGTATCCTAACATAGCTAAGGTCACATTACGATCGGCGTCAACAGATTAAGGGCCACTTTAGGATCCCTTTCAATGTCATCTAACAGGAATGTCATCCCTGAACAAAGACGCAAAACACTTTACCTGGACACATTGTTTTGAGATTGGCTCACAAGTGGTGGCTAGTGAAACACTGCCTGTACAAATGGGCAGGAAATGAGCAGGTGAACAAGTTTAAAAAGAATGAAGTAGGAAGGGCAGGACAGTATGGAGGTGCCAAGTGTTGCAATAGGGGCAGCAGATCCTGTAGGCCATTGTTTAGTTATATCTTACGAAGAAAACCTGTACGAAAATCCCGAATCTGCAGTGGACTCGTGTGATCATTCAGCGAGACCCAGAAGGAGTATTCTTTCCCAAAACCTATACAGTTAATGAAGTAAAACCACACCGGAACTCCAAAACATGAACACCGTTTAGTTTCACAGTATTCTGCTAACAGACTAACTAGTAGAACGAACTTGAGGATGCAAATGGAAGATAGGATCCCAGGTGGTGAAATGGGGACAGCCGATATATTAAGATATCACCAGTAGGAGAAAAATCAACATCGATTCTGCAGCGACACAACGTTAGTCGTCTTGTTCAGTAAAGTAATCAGATAAAACAACAAGCCAATTCTTTTACCTTATCATGAAACATGGAAAACTACATGGTGTTGCAGATCCACTAACATACCGATTTAGTTTCGCCTGATTATTCCTACAGTTATATGGTATGGAATTGTATGATGTTGGATTATATCGACTAAGGTAACAATTGACTTATATGTGGAACAAGGATCAATGAATCGCCAATAAACTTGGTTGCATTTCTGTTGTGTTGAGGTTTTTGCTGTATTTCTTTTTGTTTGGTGTTTTTTCATTCCCACAGTTATATAGTATGACGTTGTATGACGTTGGTGCTTGTCGATTGAGGCGAACATTGACTTCTTATATATAGTATACGAAACACTTACTCGCCAATACACTTGGTTGTACTCCTATTGTTATTGAGATTTATAATGCCTTTCTTCTGTGTGGTGTCTTTTCATTCCTTATCATGACCTTCTTTTGTATAACAAGTTCCGATGTTTTCCTTGTCTGTGTTTGTACATATGGGTTTTGATTACGTCATCGGTACAGAGTAAGGGACCTGTGATAAACAGGGAAGGGGACAAATCGAGATCACCAGTACTGCAACAGATCCAACTTATTGATACGTCTTTGGTAACTGCAATGTCCTTTTTGACCACAGACGTATACGGCGGAAAACCTGGAGTATGCCATTGTGATCAATGTAACAAACTTGAAGCTGTTTCAGATGTCGTTATAATGGTTCTGTTAAAGTGTTGCCAATGTGATTCAGATAAATGGGAAATGATTTTTGTATTGAATGCAACTTTTACGTGAGTGTTAGCATGACAGTTATCCATTATCTCACATGACATCATATTATTATGAAGTCTTCACTTCACCGTTTAAACAACTTAACCGACACCATGCCAGCTACTGATTTTATTTAAAAGACAAGGATGCTCAGGAGTTTTTGATCATGAATAATTAATCCAGATGAACTAAGTGCCTTAATTTCTGACCAGCTCTTGTGATCGATAATATATTCAGATATTCACTCAATAAATATCTTAATTTTAACGCAAAGTTAACGGATCGCTCACCATCAATTATCTTTACTATATATATCACGATACAATGGCTAATGTAGCTGACACTATTACAGTTGGCTTTCAGCAACTATTGCAAATAAATGTTACTAGTATTGATCAGTCTAGTATCTCGATATACTGAGACATGTTGTAAAAGATCTATATTTACATGCATGTCATTACATGAACCTTTATGCACTGTAAAACAAAGTCAGCTTCATTAG